TTTCTGTCGAATAATGTGAACCAGAGTCCTTCTGATTTGGGCCCCATGGAGCTAAGAAAACCAATTTCAGGTAGCTCACATATCCCTAAGGTTTAATGTCATAAATTCCACTTGTGGTACTAATTTCTGAAATCAGGATTCTTCAGCTGCAAGTACCAAAAATTGACTCTGATGAAAGAGTGAAACAAGAATAGGGGATTTATCGAAGAGACAGTGAAGCAGGGCATGGAATAGAAGGAAAAGCTAGACACTGAGGCTCAAGAGGCACAGGACCCCCGCAGCTCTGGGCATCCGGGTACTGTGGACACTCCCCCCGGGGCACTGCTACAGGATGTCTCAGCCCTTACCACCTTCCACCCCCATGTGTCTCCATTAGAGATGCGGACTTTTGAGGGAGGCTCTGATTGGACCAGACTGAGTTGTGGACCTAATCATGTGGTGAGGGACATCGGGGTGGTGATTGGACATCTCCCAGAAGCAACAGGGGCCCAGGGAAACTGAGGCCCTCCTCCCCAAGGGAAAGATGCCGGGCAGAGGAAAACCAGCATGTGGATTCCACATACCACTCCCTTTCAGTTCTGAGCCTTTTCACTTTCCCTTCTCCCTGGAGGGCTCAGACTCTCCTGTGGCATAGATGTCATTTCCCCTAGGGAGTTGCTGGGAGCTTCCCTGCCTGGGATAAGTGCCCCTCCTAGGTGATTCCACAGCCCTTATCTCCCTGTATTGTAATTGTTTGTTTATTTATTTTTCTTTCTCATGGGATTGTGAGCTCAGTGATAGGAAGGAGTGTTTGCCTTGCTTACAGTTATTAACCCCCAAATATACACAATTCATGGCACACAGTAGGTCCTCAATAGCTATTTGCTACATGAGTAAAGGATGAAGACCTTCCTCTCTCACTAAGTTGCTATGACCTCAGGGAAGCCCCTTCCCTCTAGGCTTTCATTTCTTATTCTTAAAATGCAGAGTAGCAGCAGGTCTTGTTCAAGGATGGTTTGAGGGCAAGAGATCGAAATTCACTTAAGCAAGCTCAGCAAAGATGGGTATTATGAGGGATCAAGGATGTCTCACAGAACCGAGGACTTCACCAGGAGCTGGAAGATGTCAGGAATCAGCAGTTTCACCTGCTCCCTCCCTGGGGCCAGGTACCTGCCTCTCGCTGGGCTCCAGGCTCTGGCTCCCATCTCTGTTTGTGGATGACATAGTCTCTTCAGCCCTTGTAGTTCTTGTATCATGGGGTTGGCTTCCCTGGGAGGTAGCTCTGAGGTGAGTTTATCCTGGAAGACGTTTAGTTTGGAAAGTTCTCAAGCTCAACACCTGTGGAAGGAAAGGAAGCATTCAGGGTGAAAAAAGGGAAAGTTCCGGTTGGGACACCATCCTCCAAATGTCCTCAGTAGATGTCACAGAAAGCTCTGGACCCAGATGGTGAGAGGACTGGACTTTTAACACACCTCACCCACCCACCTCCAACTAGTCACTGGAGTGGGCCGTCTAGGAAAGAGGGCATGACCTCTGACAGGACTCTCTTGCTCTGAGGCTGTCCTTGAAGGGGTGGCAGCTAAGAGATGTCTCCCATCAGCGGCACTTCCAGCAGCTGAGAAATGCACCCTCCACTCCTAAAGAGGGATGCGGGTAGAGCATCACTGTGTTCTCTGCCTGAGACCGGGCCCCAGGCTGGGTTCAGGCACTTGAGTTGGAATCTGATTGCCTCAGCTCTTGGCCAGGTGTCCACCTTACAGCCAATGAGCTGTGCTCAGGCAGCTGCCAAGTGACGTGGCATAAATGGCCCTTTAGTTTGGGAGAGAAGGGGACCCCCAAAGAGCGTGTATCATGAAGAACTTCCAAAATGTCCTCTACAAACTCAGGGCAGGTGGGACAAGATTGCTAAGCTCTGGGGCTCTGGAGCCAAACCACTGTGTTTGAATTTTATTAGCTAGGAATACATTCAGCAGTGAGGAACGGAGAATGATGGTAGAGGGGCTTAAACAAATGAGGGGTTTCTTTGGTTCATCCAAGAGCTGGGAGAAGGTAGTCCTGAGCTGATACAGTAGCTCAAGGATGTCACTGGGACCTGGCATCCTTTGATTTTCCATTCCATCACATTTAGCAAATGAGTTTCTCCTCATGCTCACAAGGTGACTGTTGCGCCTCTGGTCATAATGTCTATGTGTCCCCCGTAAATAACCAGAAGGGAAAGGAGCCCCCAGAGAGGAGTGGGGAAAAGAGGGGTGAAGGATTCTCCTTTAGCTGGGCTTTTTCTTTGAGAATAGGTGCTCCAAAGACTTTTGCCTCTTGTTCATTGACTAAAATTATGTCATGGGGCTATTCCTCGCAGCCAGGGAGGCTGGGAAGGTGAGCATTTCAGCTTTCCAGCCATAAGGGAAGGAAGAGAACGGGGGCTTGATGGCAGCTTCTGGATAGTGCATCCGCTGTGTGAGCCGTAGCCACGTGCTGCCTGTGTGGCCTTGGGGAGGCCACTTAACCTCTCCGGCCTCCATGTCTCCACTGAGAAAAGGGAGCCAATCATAGCATCTACATTGTTAGATGAGTTCATGGAACCAGCACCTGATGCGTGGGGAACCCCCAGTAGATGCTCGCCAGTATCGTCATTGCTGTGATCACCTAGGATTCCGATGGTGGAGTCGGAGGTACTGTGGTGGGAGGGACTGTGGAAGGTGCCTGTCACACCCCATGCTGTGGGGTTCTGCCTTGGAAAGCACAGCTCACTGGAGTGTGCGTGATGTGACATCTGGAGTGCTGAGTAGGGTGAGGATCTGGTTTCGATTAGAAATGTCTGGGGTCAGGGAGAGGGGCTCCAGGGGTCAGGGTGCAGCTGGGGTGAGTGTGTCCCCATCTCCTGGGGCCTTCAGACAGCCTTCAGGTTGGGGGTCGGCACAGCTCCGTGGAGGGCAGGGCAGGTGGCATGTGACAGGCTGGCCGGGCCCCCTCTGGCTGGTGCAGGTTAATTTGAATGAGTGAAATCTGGCTCTGGGGCCCCAGTGCCTCATTTCTCTTCTTCAGGATTGAAGAATCAAACCAAATTGATTTCGAGCAACTCTAATATATTGATTCAACTTGGTGAACAAAAAAGGCAAAAGGGGGGCAAGCAAAATACATATTGCTTCCAGTTATGAGGCCAGTGGTTAATCTCGGCTTCGTACCCCTGTCCTGGTGGTGGCTTAAGTAATTAAGTGGAGTGAGTGCTGGCTAACTGATGCTTCCTCCTCACGTTGGCTTATTTACAGGGGAACCAATGGCCCGTGGAGTCGAAGCACTGCTTTCCTTCCCTTGGGGCCTGCAGGGGCGTGTGGGCCAGGTATCCAGGTGGGCTCAGGGCATGCATGCGCCCCCCACCCCTGCAGACCTGACTCCTTGGGGCACACATGCACCTGGTCAAGGAGGAAGCCCTTGAGCAGTGCGCATTCTCACAGGTGAGTCCACCCCAACCCTTACCCGAACCAGCTGAGAGGTTGGCCGGCCCCGTTCCCCCCAGCCCCAGCCTTGGTTTCCCCATCAGTAATATGGGCTTTGGAACAGGCCTTGGAGGGCCTCAAGGTGACTGGTGGAAAGGAAGCTCTTTGAACTGCCCAGGCCTTGCTCAGGCTTGCCTGGGCTTGCTTTCAGTGCCCTGTTCCCTCTGTCCTCTCCCTGGCACCCAACTCGGGTCTGTTGCATCTGTTCCCAGAAAAAGACCCGGTTCCCGGTGACCTGGCTGTAATGTCCTCTTGTCTCCTCCCAGAGGACCTGCATCTTGAGACTTTCTGGTCATTAGGTCCCTTTTGTAGGCTCCAGACAGAGTGGTTCAGAGCCCAGCTTTGGGGCCCCACTACCAGTTTGTGTGACCCCGGGCAACGTACTTGACCTCTCTGTTCCTCAGTTTCCCCATATACCCTGGAACATAACAGTAGGTCCCTGGCTTGTTGTGAGGAGCCAGTGAGTGTATCAAGCACATAGAATTGCACCTGACCTATAGTGGGCACAGGTACGTGTTAGCACTCTCTGGAGCAGCAGCAGGGTGCTGGTAAAGCTGAGGGGGTCCCCTAGGTCAGGCTGGGCGTCTCATCTGGGAGGCATACTGCAAGCACCCGGAGACTGATACATTAACAGCCACACCAAGGCCTGCTCCTGACTACTGAAATGATCTTCGGGTGTGAATAGGCCATCAGGGTCGCTAAAAGTCCCCGTGCGTGCTAAGTCCCTTCAGCCATGCCCGACTCTGTGTGACCCTGTGGACTGCAGCCTGCCAGGCTTCTCTCTCCATGGGATTCTCCAGGCAAAAATACTGGAGTGGGTTGCCATTTCCTCCTCCAGGGGATCTTCCAGACCCAGGAATCGAACCCACGTCTCCCGTGTCTCCTGTATTGGAAGGCAGATTATTTCCCACTAGTACTGCCTGGGAAGCCTAAAAGTCTCCAGGTGATTTTATATAGTGTGCAGCAAGCCTGGGACCCACCAGGCTGGACAGTTACAGGGAGGGCAGTCCATCCAGGTGACAAGCACAGTCCAAATGAATGGAGGTGGTCTCGGAGAACCAACCAAGCATGACTGCTGGAAGGCTTCCTGGAGGAGGGGGCAGGAGAGGGGAGGGAGAGGGGTGGGAGGGGCTCTGAGGCCCAGGGGCAGTGGGGCGCCCCTCCACTGGCTGCTCCACCCTCAGGGCTCCCCGCCTGCCTCTGCTCTCCCCCTTCTCTCTCCCGGGGCCCCTGAACTCCAGCTGGCACCCGCCTCCTTAATAAAGGCAGATTGCTGCTCTGCTTGTCCCCAGTACTCCTGATGGGGCCATTAATATTCCAGGGAAGATTAACTCCCCCTCTGCTTCCTCCCCTGCAGCTGCTGGGCTCCTCTGACTGATGAGGGCCTGGGGCTCAGACAGAGATGTTGCTGGAACCCAGGCAGGAGGCTGCCTGAGATGACCTCAGCGGCCCCTTCCAGGCTTCAGCTGAGACGGGGGCTGTGTGGAGCTACCTGCGGTCCCGGGACTCCGGATGGAAACTCAGGGCTCTCGTTCAGTCGTTTTATTTGGCTCAGAGAACGCACATGATGTCCCCACAGTCACACGGCAGAGCGGAACCCAGAACTCCTTTTGGCTGAGTGACCTTTGCATATATCAGACCCAAGGGCCTGGGCGGGTGGACAGCACCCCTTCACCGTCCCCAAAGGCCTTTGGTGACAAGAATGGTGTCCTCTGGGGGCTGCTGGCAGGGCAGCCTTCACGAGCCTTGCCTGCCTCACTGGGCAGCCTCCGCCCGGGCCTGCTGGAGAGTGAGGGGGACGCGGGCTGCCTGACAGAGGCCCGGTGACTCTGGAGGTGGCGGAGGCGCTCCAGGCAGAAAGTGGGAGGCAGCAGAAACGGGAGCCCAACCCCCCAAAGCTGATGGAAAGGCACACGTTTCCTTCGAATCCCAGTTATTCTCTGCCAGCCTCCAGCTCCCAACCATGTACAGGCACAAAGACCCACTTCACACACTGCACCTACCACACAGCACACAGTACACACACCCACACATATACACACACCCACACACCACGTACACGCTCAAGAGTGCACAGAACGCCTCCATTCCCTGGCTTTTGGTTAGCACGTACATGCTGCTGCTGGTGCCCAAGCCGTGTCTCTGGTCCAGCCTCCCTCCAAGCTCCAGACTCCTACCTCTGTGACACCACACCTCCTGGGATTTGCACCCTGGGTGGTTCCTTGCCCTTGAACTTGGGCTGGCCCCAACCACATGGCAGAAGCGATGCCATATGGCTTTCAAGGCTGGAGCATGAGAAGACTCACCGCCTAGTATCCTGGGGTGCTCACTCCTGGGACACTCCTTGGAATCCCGCCTCCATGCTGGGAGAGGTGCCGGTGGCAGCCTCGATTCAGCTCCCGGTCCTCACCGCCTGCCCGCTGTATGAGGGAGGCACTTTGGATGCCCAGCCCTGTCGCACTTTCAGATGACTCCTTCTTCCAGCCCCCTGGGAGATCCTAAGTTAGCAATGCCTGGTAAGCCCAGAAAAACCATGGGAGGTCAACTGATGTTTGAAGCTACTAAGTTTTGAATGGTTGGCCATAGATCATCAAACACAGGATAAGCCCAAGAGAGACTTAAGTCAGACTTTGGTGGACTTTGGGGAAATCCTGACTATGCCACTTCTGTGGGTTGTCTTGTGGGGTCACCATTAAGGGTAAAGTGGGGCTTCTCCTGAAAGGAATCAACAATTGCTCATCCTGGGCACAAATGAATTTGGGCAGAGGAAAGGAGGATATGGGCTAAGTTTTAGACTTGGGATGTTATGGGTAGATTCAGCTGCAGTTAACAGAAAATCCTCAAATAGCAGTTGCTCACAGTGTAGTTTGTTTCTCTCTTATGTGACTGATGATCAGAGGTAGATGGTTGAGGCTGATTTGGCACCCTAGAATCAGTGGCCCAGGCTCCAGGGTGTTGCTTTGCAAATTTTGGGGATATCTTTCCTATTGTATTCTGTATTCTATTTACCATAGTATACAACATAAAGGGTACTCCCTGAAGTTGGGCAATGTAGATACTCCCAAACTTTTTTCTTTCTTGTTGTTAACTGTATGTGATTTCCAGTCCCAAGTTCTCCACAACATCATGATCCAAAGTTGCTGCTGGAGTGCCAGACATTGCACCTGCCTTCCAACTGTCGGGAAGGAAGAATGATGGCAGGTCACACCTTTTTTGCTATAGGCACTTGGAAATGATACTACCCATTTATACCCCCATTAGCAAGACTTAGTCATATGACCACATCCAACAGCAAGTAAGGTTGGAAAATGTTATTGTGGATGGGTACATACCCTGCGGCACATCCCAGCTGTCAGTCCTCTCCCACGTGTTCAGCCCAGACTAGACAGCTGGAGACATGCTGGACTCCTCCATCTCACCCCCAGCCACCCTAATCCTGTCACCAAGGCACTCCTCCTCCCACTTAGCATTCTCTACCTCTGCCTCCATCAGCCTCTTGTAATCTCATCTGGCAGTCACCTCTGAATGACTTGTCCCCTCCTCTGTCTTCCCCTTCTCTGCATTGCCACCAGAGCCTCCCACCCTGGCCAGCTTTGGAGCTGAAACAGCTCCTCCAGCTGTTTCCCACTGCCTCCTAGGTAGATAAGAGTTGCAGCTGCCTTCCTCACTTCAGCTGCACTGAACTGTTGGGAAGATTCCCGCCCCCCCACCCCCACCCCCCGCTACACACCTGCTGCACATCTGGCCCCTTCCAGCAGGTTCTCGACACATGTTATTGCTAGTGCTCAGAACCTCCTGTGACAGGGTGAAGTTTCAGCAGAGGAGCCTGAGGCTCGGGGAGGTTAGGACACATGCCCAACATCCCAGAAGCTGAGCTGGATTTGAACCCAAGTTGGCCTTGCTCCAAAGTTGGTGCCATCTCCTCCAGCTGTGCCCTAAGTGGCCGACCTCCAGCATGTCACATACAGTCCTATTCTCGTGTTCACCACATTCAGCATACACACCACCCTACCCTTGGGGCCTCGTTCTAAGACAGATGCATTTTCAAATTCTCAAAGGTGGCTTAACATAAAGAATCTTACCCGCTTCCCTAAGGGAACCAGCTGCTCTGTCCAGGTAAGTTTTTACCTCCCCTAGCCTTCACACGTGCTGCCAGGCCCTGTCTGCACTGCAGCTGTACGCTCCCTCCTTCTTGCAAGGCCAGCTCCGCCTCATCTGTGAGGTCTCAGCTTCAATATCACTTCCCTACAGAATGTAAAATGGTGAGACTTTGGAAAACAGTGTGGCAGTTTTTAAAAAGGTTAAATGCACCACATAGCCCAGCAATTCCACTCCTAGGAAGCTACCTGAGAAATGGAAATACACATCCACATGAAGACTAGCTGTGAAGGGTTTATAGCTGCTTCATTCATAATAGCCCCCAACTGGAAGCAACATAAGTGTCCATCACCTGTGGAATGAATGAACACAACAGGGTCTGTGCATACAATTGAGTACTATGCACAGTAAAAAGTCATAAACTACTGCTACAATGTGGACCTTCGAAACATGCCAAGTGAAAGAAGCCAGACATGTGAGATCATATATCATGATTCCATTTATATAAAATTTCCAGAAAAGGCAAATCTAAAGGACAGAAAATTGATTAGTGGTTAGTCCAGCTAGTGGAACAGGACTAACTGTATATAGGATTAAAGAATCTTATCAGGTGGATGAAAGTGTTTCATAACTGGATTATAGTGATGGTTGCATGACATTGTAAATTTACTAAATATCATTGACTTGCACATTTGAATATATAACTCAGTAAAGCTGTAAAATAAGGTATTTTAAAAAGTCATTTCTCCAGAGCAGCCTTCGCTAACACCTGTTCCCCAGTAGTCTTTGCCTTGTCTCATGGCCCATGCTGCGTCTCCCTCATGGGCCTATGTCACGTGGGAACTCTCCGTTTGTGGGGTGATGTGCTTCCTGCAGACTTTCTTCTCTAGAATGGAGCCTGCATAGGGAAGGGCTGAGTCCATTTTGTTTTAAAATAATTGCGATATAATTTATACACCGTAAACCTACTCATATATAATTTATTGAATTAGTATATTCACAGATAAGTTCAACCATCACCAGTTTTTTAAATTTGGCCATGCGGCATGCGGGGTCTTAGTTCCCTGACTGGGAACTGAACCTACGCCCCTTGTATTGAAAGTGCAGTCTTAACCACTGGATCACCAGGGAAGTCCCCCACATCAAGTCAATTTTATAACACTTCATAAAGCCCCATACTCTTCAGTTACCACCTCCTAACCCTCTACTCAGCCCCCTCTCCTGCAAGTCACTAATCTACTTTGTAGATTTCCCTGCTCTGGACATTTCATATAGATGAATCACAATGTGTGGTATTTTGTGTTTTACTTTCCTCACTTAACGGTGTTTTTAAGGTTCGGCCATGCTGTAGCATGCCACAGCACTTCAGTCCTTTTTATGGCTGAATGAGATTCCATTGTATGGATACTACATTTTGTTTATCCATTCATCAGACATTTCCCACCCCCCAACCCCCCACCTTTTGGCTAGTGTGAATAATGCTGCTATAAATATTCATATACAAGCTTTTATGTGGACATATGTTTTCATTTCTCTTACATGCCTAGGAGTGGAACTGCTGGGTCACATGGTAACTATGTTTAGCTCTTTATGCTCGACCACTTTCCAAAGTGGCTGTACCATTTCACGTTCCCAGAACAAATGTCTGAGGGCTTAGTCTCTCCACATCCTCACCAACACTTGTTATCTGATTTTCAGATGATAGCGCTCCTGGTGGGTGTAACATGATGTCTTCCTGTGGTTTTGATTTGCATTTCCTGATGACTAAGGACGTCAAGTGCCTTTTTATGTCTTTATTAGCTCTTATTTATCTTCCTTGGAAAAATTTCTATTCAGATTTTTTATCCATTTTTAAATTGGTTTGTCTCTTTTAATTAATATGTTATAAGAGTTTAAAAAAAATTTTTGCTCTGCCAAGTCTTCATTGCTGTGCACGGGCTTTGTCTAACTATGGCAAGCAGGGGTTACTCTCTAGTTGCGGTGTGTGGGCTTCTTGTTGCAGAGCACAGGCTCAGCTGTTCCAAGGCATTGGGGTCCCCCCGGCCCAGCAATTGAACCCGCAGCCCCCGCATTGGCAGGCAGACTCCTAACCACTGGCCCAGCAGGGAAATCCTGTCAGAGTTCTTTATTCTAGATACAAGTGCTTTCTGGAGATCCGGTTTGCAAATATTTCGCCCTATTCTAGTGCTTGTCTTCTCACCGTCTTGATGGTGTCTTCTGAAGCACATAAGTTTTACACTTTTCTTGAAGTCAAATTTATTTTTTCTTTTGTACTTGTGCTTTTGGTGTCACAGCTAAGAATCCATTGTCAAATCTGACATTCTGAAGACCTGCCCCCAGGTTCCCTTCCAATAATTTTATGGTTTTAGCTTTCATGTTTACTTCTTTGTTCCGCTTTGCGTTACTGACATCACTTAATGCCGTTGGGTAAGGGCCCAACTTTATTTTTTGCACGTGGCTCTCCAGTTATCCCATCACCGTTTGTTGAAAATACTCTTCTTTCTCCCCAGTGAATGGTCCTTTTACCCTTGTTGAAATCACTTGACTGTGGACACATGGTTTTACTTCCAGACTCTCAGTTCTTTCCCGTTGATCACATGTGTATCCTGAAGCCACACTGTTTCAGAGTTTGTTGCTTTTCTTCACTACATTGCCTGGAATATGGTGAATCAAATATCTGTGGGATGTTCAAAGCCCAGCAATCAAATACCACCAGGAACACACCTTTAATAAAACATTTAGGCTTATTTAGTTTGCTGCGGCAAAGGAGAACATACCTACCAAAGATTCCCCAGAGTGTCTGGAAAGAAGAGTTCTGAGAGGGGCGTCCTAGAGGGTTTGGGCTGGTGCTGAGTGATTTGGAGGAGAAGCTGGGGAAGCAGAGGCTAATCTGGGGATGGCACTGCCTAGAAGGGAGGCTATTCATGGCTGGGGTCTTAGTTTTTATCTGGGAGGTGGGAGAGTTAAAATAGGGAGACAGCTGTCCCTCTAAGAGGCTGGCCCCCATGGCCTTGTTTGGCTGCTCCCTGATCATAGTCTTGGTTCCTTTGGGAACTTCTTGTCTGATGGTCAGTAGGGCTGTTTTTGACTTTGTGTAAGTAAACAAATGGTCCCTGCTAAGGAAGAACTAGATAGCAGGCCAAGACCGACCCTGACTATCCTATGACACCCACTCTGATGTTTGCTTTAGGGGCCAACCCAGGGACAAGGTGCATGTGGGGTTGCAGGAGGTACCCTCAGTGGATGATGCCCAGAGCCTGGGCCACTGACTTACCGTGTTGCTTGGCCAGTTATTCTGCCTTCTTGGTCCGCGGTGTCCTCATCTGTGATATAAGGAGATCAGACAAGACAGTGCCTGGGCCACCTCCTAGTTTCTTATCCATGATCTAGTTGTATTCCTGGGCTATTTCAGAGAGAGGGAAATTTCTGCTGATAAACCTATTTCACCAGTGCCCCCACACGAGCGCATGTGCGTGCATGCACATAGACACACACATACACATATTCTGACTCATCTGGCCCGAAGTCCCTAATCCGATCTTTTAGCTCAGCATCTCCCAGACATTTGGATTGGATACTCTGGCAAAATTTTCCAAAAACACCTATTTTGAAGATCCACAAATGGTTGCCAATATTTTATTCTGTCAAAGAGGATATTAAAAATCACAAGTACTACCACCTCTTGCAACCCTGTGTCATAAAATAATAAAAAATAAATTAAAATATAGGATAGTACTCTCAAATTGCCCACGTTCTCCTCATTCTTGGATGACAGAGAAAACTGATGGAATGAACAATTCTGATCCTTATCTGAGTTTGGGAATGGCTGCTTTATCTTATAATGGCTTTAGCTCTCATTAAAATGCAAATACTGTGGGAGAGCCAGCCTCAATAGTCCATAAAGCAGTGATGGGTTCTAGGATGAGGGTGGGAGGTTGGCAGGTGAAAGTGGGGCTGGGAAGTACTCAGATGGGGCTTTGAACACCAGGTCTCTGGCAGCTCCAGTGACCTGAGGAGGAAGGACCAGCACCCATGTCCCCAGGCACATCTCAAAAGCCTCTCTAAATGTGAGGCTGGAAATACTATCCTGGGAGAAGGGATTGGGACCTGGTGCTAATCAAATGAAAACAGAACCAGACGTCTCCTTGACCGTGAAGCTGAGCCTCTTGATGCCTCCTCAGTTGCCACCTACTACTTCCAGTCATTTCCACCTCCAGTGTTTGCCCAAAGCCTGTGAGAAACACTCTGTGCTGTGTGTGTGTGTGATTCCAACAATTGCCTAAGTGTTTTTTTTGTGGCAGACTGTAGGAAGTGGAGAGTAAATAGTCCACCCCCAGAACACTGTTGTGCTACTTTTTTTAAACTCTTGTATCACAGGACAATACATGGTACCCATGGGTTCACTCTGGACTATGAGGAACTGCATCCAACAAGGGGATTCCTCCCATACCCCCAGGTCCATTCTCCCAGCGCCAAATGTGCACTGTGCTACTGTTCCTTTAAAAAGTACACCCATGTTGCCAGAGGGAACCAATCAGCAGGTGGGGGAGGAGCTACTTGGGCCTGACCACAGTCACAGCAATTAAAAGCCTGTGGGAAGCCCCAAGAGTGACAGCCTCCTGAGGGAGCCTGGGCAAACCTGCTTAAAGGGACAGTGTCCCAGATGAGTTGCTTGGGTGTTATCAAACTCCAGAGTCCCTGAACTGACCAATGCATTCTCAGAGTGACTGCTGTCCCCACCTTCCCACAGATGATAATTTGCTGGGAAAGACGAGTGATTTATCTGTCTAATTGGGCTTGTATTTGCATTTTAAATCACGCTCTTTTGCTAAACTAATGGACCCCCTATTTATAGATGACTCCAACACAAAGTGACTACTAATTACTACAATTAATATCACGTTAAGGGCTTGCCAGCCAACTTCACAGCAACTTGTATCGCCTACTCATTTTCAATTAAGGCACATTGACAGGGAGAATACGTGGTTATTAAGAGCAGGCCCTGGTGTGTAATTACTGCTCACAAGGTCATTAAGTGACTCCCCTGCAGAGCTGGCACCTTGGAGCCTGGGGACTGGGGGCCTAGATCCGTGTCCCACCCAGGGCCTGGGAAGCCTCAGTGCCCCCAGGTCGCTGGCGGACGGGGGCCTGGCTCTGAGCTGTCTGGAGGTGGAGCAGCTGATGTCTGGATGGCTTGGTGCTGGGATGGGAGAGTCAGGCACGGAGGCTGGAGGGGATGATCCGCCCTCTCTTGAAGTCAGCAGTTTGTGGCAGCCCCCAGAGAGCCGGCAGCACTGCAGTCCTCCTGGAGCAGCTTTCAGCAAGTGTCTGTGGGGACAGACAGGGAGTCGGCAGCAGGGCTGGAGGGGTGAGGGGAGGAGAGGCCAGGAAGAAGACAGCTGCCTAGCAGAGTGTGGGGGTGGGCCGGGGAGCCTGGGAGGGTGAGTGAGCTCTGTGCCCCATATGCTGGGGAAGAGTCCCTTCTGACTATGAGGAGGTAGGGAACGCTGTGGCAGAACAGAAAAAGGATTGGCAGGGGTGGGTGGCAGTGGCAGAAGCCAGGGGGAGTGGGCATCTCAAGGGGGTGCTCTGTAGCTGACTGTTCCCCAATTCCTCTCTACACAGCGGCCATGGCTGACCCACCAGGGTTAAGGTACAGTGGGAAGGCTCCGGGGGCCGGTCTCTACTTTCCCAATGGCCAAACCCAGGCCAAGCAACCTGTGCACTCAGGGCCAAGACCCGTGGCTGGACTGGGGACCTGTGACAGGCAACCCTGGTGGTGGTACGCTGGAGTCGCCCTGAGAGCCAACGGGGGGGGGGGGGGGGTGGCGTGCCCCATTCAGCTTTCAGGGATTTATTCAAGGTTTAGCATTGACATGGTGGAGGATTTAGACCAGGGAAATCACTGGTCTATAGCAGACGCTATAACTTGGAGAACTGGTTGTTAGATATTTACCTGCTAAGCCAGCTAAGCCTGCTGGGGGGGAGGGGGGGTGTGTGCCCTGGGCACTGAGGCACAAGGCCTTCTTTGAGTTACGTC